CTTGTCCTCTCAGAATGGTGAGGCCAGTGCTCTCTCTAATTTAAGGGCTATCTCTCTGAGGATATTACAGCAAGAGGATTTACCTTGAGCCCCACTTTTGGGTAACATTTCAAATATCTCTTTTTCAAAGCAGAAAGGTGGCCAGGTGAACTACAGTATCTATCACAGACTCTTAGAGAGGCTGTTAAAATTTTCAAGATTCCGTTCAGTGGTGATCTTTACCATGAAAAGCATACGTTGTATATCAGTAAGTCCCCAATGTGTGGATAGGTTCTGCAACTTTAAATAAGCTTTTATTGAGTTTAGAGAAAGGAAGGGAGAGGGAGAGACACATCAATGTGAGAGAGAAACGGATCGGTTGCCCCCTGTAGACACCCCCACTGAACCGGAAACCTGGGCATGTACCCTGACCTGGAATGGAACTGGTGACCTTTCGGTGCACAGACAAATCTCAGCCAAGTGGTACTGGCCAGGGCAGGCTCTTCAACTTTAAAAGAAACAATGTAGCCCTAACCGGTTTGGCTCCGTGGATAGAGCACCGGCCTGCGGACTGAAGGGTCTCAGGTTCGATTCCGGTCAAGGGCATGTACCTTGGTTGTGGGCACATCCCCAGTGGGGGGGAGTGTAGGAGGCAGCTGATCGATTTTTCTCTCTCATCAATGTTTCTAACTCTCTATACCTCTCCTGTCCTCTCTGTAAAAAATCAATAAAATATATTTTTTTTAAAAAAAGAGAAACAATGTATAACCAGTCTTACCATAGGTTAACTGATATAAACAAGAATTAAGTTCCTATGGCATATCATCATTATGATAAAAACATTTTCTTTATAACATTACTCAAGGACCTGCTGTATGTTAAATGTGAAATAAAACTGTGTGTTCATATGCATTCTCATGTGTATATTTATTATATTTAATATTCATTCGAGAGGGATAGAGAAATAGAAACATTGATGAGAGAGGAACATTGATCGGCTGCCTCCTGCATGCCCCCTACTGGTGATTGAGCCCATAAGCTAGGCTTGTGCCCTAACTGGGATTGAACCAGTGACCGCTTGGCTCCTGGGTTGATGCTCAACCACTGAGCCACACTAGCCAGGCTGTTTCTTCTTAGTTTAAAAAGAGTAGGTAACAACGATATATCTGATAAGGGGTTACATTCCAGAATTAATGAACTTATGAAACAACACCACAAAAAAAAAGTCCAATTAAAAAATGGGCAAAAGACTTGAATAGACACTTCTCTTAAGAGAACCTGCAGATAGCCAATAGACATTTGAAAAAATGCTGTCTCTAATCACCAAAAAAAAAAAAAGCAAATTAAAACTATGAGATGTCACTTCACACCTATCAGAATGGCTTATCATCAATAAATAAACAAGTGAGAGAAAAGAGAACCTTTGGTTAGATGCAAATAGGTGGAGTCACTGTGGAAAGCAGTATGGAGTTAACTGAAAAAATTACATATGGAACTGCCTTATAACCCAGTGATTCTACTTCAGGGAATGCATCCAAAGAAAACCGAAACACTAATTCAAAAGAATATACGTACCCCTATGTTCACTGCAGTGTTATTTACAATAGCCACAATTTGCAAACAGACCAAGTAGTCCATCAGTAGATGAGTGGGTAAAACAGCTGTGGTACATTGACACAATGGAATACTACTCTGTAAAAAGGAAGGAAATGTTACCCTTTGCGATAACATGGACCTGGAGAACATTATGCTAAGTGAAATAATTCAGAGAAAGACAAGTACCATATGATTTCACTCATGTGGAGTTTTTAAAAAATGTTATTGATTTTAGAGAGAGGGAGAAACATCAATGATGAGAATCATTGATTGGCTGCCTCCTGCACGCCCCCTACTGTGGATGAAGCCTGTGACCCTGGCATGTGCCCAGAACTGGGAATCCGAATTGGTCCACACTCAACCACTGACCCACTCTGGCTGGGCCATAGGTGGGATTTAATGAACAATCTGAACTACCAAGCAAAATAGAGACAGACTCGTAGATAGAAGGCAGGCAGACAACTCTGGTGGGAGGTGATTAAGGGGGTGGAGGGTTTGAGAAAAAACAAAACAAACAAAAAAAACCTGATGGACATGGACAACTGTGATAGGGGGAAGAGGGCTCAGAGGGGATAATGATGGGGAAAAAACTTAAAATATTAAAAAACACAAAAATAAAGAGTAGGTGGGTGCTTTCCAGTTTTCTTAAGTAACCTGACCCATGCAAAACATTGCTTATTTTGGTACAATCCTTGATTAAAAGATACTGTATACATCTAGAAATTAAAAGGAGAGTCAGGACTAGATTATACTTGGGGGAGAGCTTTTCTTTCTTTTTGAGAGTTTGTTTATTTTGCTTATCTTAAATGAGATAAAGAATTATTTCCAAGTGGGCAGGTTTCCAACTTGGACCATGTACACAAAGCAGCTCATTCTAAGGAGAGTGACTGAACGAAGTATTTTGCCCCTGTTTATTTTCTCCTACAAGTGTGATGTAAAACTTTTCACATGTGCAGAAGCAGCCGTTTTTTGCAAATAACAAATGCAAGACTAACAGGTGTATGGCAGACCCAAGACGCACATGTGGTTCTCATCAGCTGCCTCTCGCCTGTTTTAAATCGAGGTTTTCCGGTAACAACCAAAAAAGTTATTTCTCCTGAGGCCACGGCTAATAATCCACTCAGCCGGCCTTCCCACCCCTTTTCTCACAATAGTATTTCTAACAGCTTCCAGAGAAGACGACGGCAGCGGGAGGGGGCGGGAAGGGGAGCGCCAGACAGTAGCAATTCTGGATTTGACCTTTAACTCCGGGTGACCTTGGGCCTTAGTTTCCTCCTTTAGGAAGTGGTTGGCGCATAAAATGCGGGTTTGTTTTCCAGCCTCCACGCCAAGCAGGGTGGGTCTTGTAAAGCCTGGGGCGATTCCGCCGGCCCCTGGACACCTTTCTGGTTGCCTCCGCGGGAGGAGCAGAGACCAGGCATGCCGCCCAGCACCCCTCCAGGACCAGGAGGGCCCGACCAGAGCGATCCGGTCCCGACGTCACTGGGACCCAGGTTTGCAACCACAGGGGCGGCTCAGGGTTGAAGCTATCCCAGCTGGGGTGGCGGCTCCTCCGAGAGACGCGTCTCTGTCTCAGCTTTCGAAACTCAGGCAGGCCAGCGAGTCGCTGCAAACCCCCGCCCTGTGGGGTGCGCAGAGACGCGGACGGGGGCGTTCCTCCGCGCCCCTAGGTAGACCCTCACAAGCGCATCACTAAGTGGACGTTTGTCTCCCTCGCTCCCAAGAACGCCGATCGAGAGGCTAGGAAGGACCCCTGGGCTCGGAAAACTTGGCAGTGTCTCCCGCCCACGACCCCTGTCACCTCCATCGGTGAGGGGAAGGTTTTTCTCCCCCGAGGAGGTCCTCACAGCGCTGGGTTCAAGGACTCCGCGCACGTCGCGGGTTTCCGTCGGGAACCTCCGCCTACGACACGGCGAGGGGCGGGGCCTTCAAGCTGCGGCCGTTGCCCCGCCCAACCGCCTCCCAACGGCTCCCCAGGTTGGGGGTGGGGCGGAAACTATTTTCAGGTTTTGGAACAAACAGTAAATTCTTTTGGCTGTACTGAGCTTTGTCAGGCAAGAACTTAAGGGAACTGAGGCCATCATTTTAAAAATGTGCCCTTGAGCTGTTAGAAGCTATGCTTATGTTGTTCAAGTTTCTTAATGTGGAGGGTGGGAAAAATCATTTGGACTAAGGCTCAGAGGCCCAGGTTGATGCCTAGTGGAGAGGCGGGCTCCATCTGGTCACAGACAGAGCTTCTGTCAGTCCTGATGAGACTTCCACTGTCTTGACAGTAAGGAAGTTCATTCAGATATTTCCCCAGGTTTCTCACAATAGTTTTACCATCGACCCCCAAAGCAACGTATGTACCCCCCGCGCGGGCCGGGACCGAGGCCTCGTGGGCCCGGGACCCTCCCCTTCCCCAGTATCCCTCATCCTCCGGGCTTCCGGGACCCTTCTGAGGCCCACCTGTCCCCGAGGGCCGCTGCCATCCCAGCCTTTCGCCCCCCAGGCCCAGACCCGGAGCGCTTGGTACGTGAGGCCGAGGCTTCCGTGCGGCCTGGGTGAAGGGAGCAGACCGGATCTGAGGCCAGAGGTTTGCCTCCCTTCCTGCTCCAGCCCTACGGCCCTTGCTGCTCCTGACTGGGTTTACCCGCCTTGCCCTTCCCCCGAGACCCGAGACCCCCGGGAAACCCTCCCGGCGTGGGGGAGGGGAGGGAGAAAGGCTGTGGAGCAACTGGTGTCCTAGGTATAATTCGGGGAGCCCTTGCCACCTGTGTTTCGGTCTTCTGGGTGAGCAGGGAAGTCCTTCCCTCTTCTCCTGGCTGGAAGCACATTGACTTCGGAGGGG